TGTATATATACACACATACACACACACACCTATCATTTTGCATTTAAATTAAGCAGTACATGTTGGCCTATTAAATAGAGAACATAGATTAATGGAAAGGCTTCACACTTAAAAGCCTGCCCTGTAAAAATCAGGATGACTGAATAACATTGCAGCAGGTGGGGGAAATGGAGAATTTAAAAACCTATTGTTTTTTACTGTGATTTAATATAAAAAGTCTTATCAGTTTAAATATATGTGGTTCTGATAGCATGTAAATGAAAAAAACACAGGTCATTATTTAATTTATTGAAGTTGTCCTAACAGTTTTTTTAGGAGGTGGGGGAGAAAAGTGGTAAGTATATACGTATATTCCTTTATACTATTGGAATTTGAAGTAGTCTGTGATACTGTAAAAATTAAAATCTCTTAGGGATGTTTGTAAAGTGATCGTGAAAAATAAGGAACTTAAAGTGTGATATCAAAGGCAAAATTACTTAAAGCATTTGAAGATAATAGGAGATACCCTGTTTCATTTACCTTTAAAATACTGTAATTTTCATTCTTATTGAACTGGTTTTTTTATGGTGGTCGCTGTTTTTTAAGGTTTTTTGCTTTTTTCTACTCAGAACATGAATAGAAATAACAAAGACATTGTTTGAGATTAGGTATGATTGGAAATGAGCAACCAGGATGAGTTATCATAGCTGTTTACAAAACTTTCCTTCTTTTCTAGCCTCCTTTTAGAGGACTCTGAAGAAGAAGAAGGTGACTTATGTAGAATTTGTCAGATGGCAGCTGCATCATCATCTAACTTGCTGATAGAGCCATGCAAGTGCACGGGAAGTTTGCAGTATGTCCACCAAGAATGTATGAAAAAGTGGTTACAGGCCAAAATTAACTCTGGTGAGATTTACCTTTTTATGTATTTTATTTTCACAGTTTTTCCAAGAGATGTACATATAAATGCATTTTAGTTAGCAAATCTGATTATAATTTATTGTGAAAGTTATACACATCAAAAGTATGTTATTTTTTGAAGCAAAAGTACTAAAGAGCATTCATTAGTCTTTGTAAATTTAATTTCTCCTAGTGTTTCTTATATTTCTTTTTTTTTTTTTTTTAAGATTTTATTT